CTCCAGCCAGGGTGACAGAGTGAGCTGTGGCCACATCACTGCAGGGTGACAGAGTGAGCTGTGGCCACATCTCTGCACTCCAGCCAGGGTGACAGTGTGAGACCTTGTCTCTAAAAAACTAAGAATTAAAAAAATAAATTAATAAAAAGAAACATAAAGATTCTTTAGAGGCCAGGCACAACGCCTCACACCTATAATCCCAGCACTCTGGAAAGCTGCAGCAGATGAACGGCTTGACCTCAGGAGTTTGAGACCAGCCTGAGCAAGAGTAAGACCCCGTCTCTACTAAAAATAGAAAAATTAGCCAGGCATTGTGGTGGGTGCCTGTAGTCCCACCTACTTCCGAGGCTGAGGCCAGAGGATCGCTTGAGTCTAAGAGTTTGATGTTGCTATGAGATATGATGCCAGGGTACTCTACTCAGGGGAAACAGAGTGAGACTCTGGAAAAAAAATCCACTTAAAAGATAATCAACTGTTTAATGCAAAATATAAGAATGTTTTGTGGAGTTTAAAACATGAAGAAGTAAAATATATGACAACCATTACACAATAGCTGGTAAGGGAAAAAGAAGAGTCTACATATTCTTAGTGTACGTAAAGCAGTCTATTATTACCGGAAGCAGTTTAATATCACAGGAAGGCAGACAGTGAGAAGTTAAATATGAATAGTATGAACTCTAGAGCAATCACTAAATTAATACAACAAAGACATACAGCTAATAAGCCAAAGGAAATTAAATGAAATAATTAAATATGAAATTAATCTAAAAGAAAGCATAAAGGAAAAGGAGGAAAGAAACAGATGGGACACATAGAAAACAAATAGCACAGTAGATTTAGACCAAAGCATATTAATATCACATTAAATGTAAATGCCCTAAACACACCAATTAAAAGGCAAAGATCATTAGAAAAGATTAAAAACAAGACCTAACTATACACTGTGTAACTATACACTTTAAATAGTAAGAAACAAACAGGTTAGACATTAAAGGATGGAATACAGCGCCTATCTGTCTTCTCTTAAAAGAATAACCAGGGCCAGGTGCTGTGGCTTATGCCTCCGGGAGGCCGAAGTGGGTGGATTGTTTGAGCTCACAAGTTGGACTGCAGTCTGAGCAAAAGTGAGACCCCACTTTCTCTGCTAAATAGAAAAAATGAGGCAAGAGGATCACCTGAGCCCAAGAGTTGGAGGTTGCTGTGAGCTGTGACACCACAGTATTTTACCCAGAACAACAGCTTGAGACACTATCTCAAAAAAAGAAAGAAAGAAAGAATAACCAGACTAAAGAAAATGGCCATGACCTAGTTTTGATTCATGAGTTGTCATAATTCAGGAAACATTTTCATATTCAAGAGTCCTTTTCAGGCCTTCAGATTTAAGTAAATATTAATACTATCGAATACTCATCATAATAAAATCCACTATAGAAAGTGTTCATGCATCATTTTTTTTTTTTTTTGAGACAGAGTCTCAGTATGTCACCCTTCGTAGAGTGCTGTGGCGTCACAGCTCACAGAAACCTCAAACTCTTGGGCTTAAGTGATTCTCTTCCCTCAACCTCCCAAGTAGCTGGTACTACAGGCACCTGCCACAACACCCAGCTGTTTTTTGTTGTTACTGACACTGTTGTTTAGCAGGCCTCGGGGGGGCTTGAACCTGCCAGCCCCAGTGCATGCGGCTGGCACCCTAACCACTTAGCTACAGGCTCCGAGCCTCACACACCATTTTCATTTCCCTTATCTCAACAGTACCTCTAAACACAGCAAGTTAAAGATTTCAAGAGAAATTCCTAACTGAGCTAAGAGATTAGCAACTTGTTCTAATCAATAAATAGCCCTATGTATATTCAAAGATGAATACACATGCTCATAATTTACCAATATGTAATTTGTGATTTCCCTAAAATACTATGAGTTAAGACAACAGAGTCTGAGCCAAACAGCAGAATCAAAATGTATCCCCTCCCTTTGGGTATTTAAAAGACTTGATTTTTCTTCCTGATAAAACTTATATTAAAAAAAATGGTAGCATTATCTACACGGCTGGTTAACCATTAGCTATTCATGGAAGCATTTAAACGGTACACACGCCAGGCATTGTGCTATAGTATAGCAAGGCACTGGGGATTGAAAAAACAATTTACTATGATCCTGAGAAATAAGTATGGTAGGGAGAGGGTGGGAATATATGTGTGTGAAATGTCACAGTATGTTGGAAATTAAATCTATACAGGATGTTTGCCCCATCTTTTCAACTTCCTAACTGTAAACTGAAATTGGTATTTCTCCTAGATTGCCTCTAGTGATATCCCACTGCACTCCTAACCACTGATAATGTGTCTTGTCTTTTTTTTCCTTCATCTGTCCTGACAGAGATCTGTTAATCTCATTGCTCTTTGCAAATAGCCAGCATTTTGTTTCATTCATTTTCTCTATCCTTTAACCAATTTCACTGACTACTTCTCTTATCTACATTATTCCCTTCCTTCCACTTGCTCTGGTTTTGTTTTATTCTTCTTTCTTAGGTTCTTTTTTTTTGAGACAGTGCCTCAAGCTGTCCCCCTGGGTAGAGTGCTGTGGCATCACAGCTCACAGCAACCTCCAAGTCCTGGGCTCAAGCGAGTCTCCTGCCTCAGCCTCCCAAGTAGCTGGGACCACAGGCACCCACCACAACGCCCGGCTACTTTTTTTTCGTTGCAGCTGTCGTTGTTGTTTGGCAAGCCAGGGCTGGATTCAAACCCACCACCTTAGGTGCATGGGGCTGGTGCCTTAGCCACTTGAGCCATAGGCACCGAGCCCTTTCTTAGGTTCTTAAAATAGGAGCTTAAGATTGTTCATTTGAGACTTTTCCTGTTTTAATTATGTTTGCATGTTGTTCTACAAATTTCCCTCTGAAATTTACCTATGGTCTCAGAAAAATAATAAGATATGGCCACAGATTTGGAAATAGCAGAAATTTTTAAGAAAACCAAATGGGAAACAGAATTATTTACCAAGAAAATTCTCCAAGGCAAGATACAGAAAATAGTCAAATTCGGCTGAGTTACAAAGTGATGTTATTAGATCGAATCCTCCAAACAGCTCGGAATGCTGGACTCCAGGTCAAGTCCCGCCACGTCAACTACATGAGGGAAAACCCACAGGAGGAACAGGACCTGCCGACCTTGCATGATGAATCACACAAGAGTGGGAGCAGGCAACAGAGAGGCCACAGGAGAGTTAGAGAGTTACAGCAGAGCTTCAGAATCTCGTTTCCGCAGTCAGTACTCTGAAGTGAACTTTCTAACTACCCAGCCAATTTCACAAACTCCTAAATGCTGCCCAGCAGGAAATAAGGCTGGGCATATGTGAAGCATAAGTATAGAATTATAATGACTTCATTTATTGAAGGTGCCCCACCCCATGGAGAAATACTAATTTCTAAAATAATACATGGAAAAATAGAACATCTTTTTTCTTACCCTCTGAGCTTTTGCGAGTTCTTCTTTTAAACGTTCATATCCCTTTTCTCTAACTTCCAAAACAGATGGGCTTCGTAAACGGGACAGACTATCGGCACTCAACCCAAAAAAATCATCACTGCCATCACAAGCCTCTGTTACAGTAGCACCCTGTAAAAACTCCCTCTCTGCATTACAGTTGTCCTTTCTTGTAGTTAATTTAGTTAACCCAGCTGTGACTCCAGAGGTCGAACAAGGTGCTGGGTCTGTAACATGAGTGCTGTAAAGGAGAGAAACATTTTCAGAAAATATCAGCATATGCTCAAACAGAACTGGCACAAACACACAACTCTGCAACTGCACTGTCCTATTTGGTAGCCTCAGCATTTAATTAACAGCATATCCTCAGTCACACCAGCCACACTGCAAGTGTTCAGCAGCCACATGTGGCTAATGGCCATCATTCACATCAGACAGCACAGACACAGAACAGGCTCGTCATAGGAAGCTCTGCTGGACGGCACTAGTCAGGAACAGGGGCGACAAGTCACAGCACACAGGCTAAACCACGCCTGCCACCTGTCTTGACAAGGCCCATGAGACAGGAATGGTTTTTACATTTTCAAATGGTTAAAAATAGATCAAATAATATTTTCTGGCATGTGAAGATTATATGAAATTCAAAATTCCACATTCATTTTGGAAGTTTCTTGGAACATAGCCACACTCTTCCATCCTGCTCATAGCTGCTTTCAGACTCTGAGGCTGAGTGGAAAAGCTCCAATAGAGACTATACGGCCTGCAAAGCCTAAAATAGTTACTCTCTGGTCCTTCACATAGAAAGTTTGCCAGCCCCTGCTCCAGAATATTAACACGAATTGCCCTACATAGGTAAGTTTATGCTATGTGAATTTCCTAAAATAGTAAAACTTAAAATAAGGTAACCAAGCATACATACTGTCCATTTTTTAGAAACAAAAATCCAGAATAAGTGTTTTGATGACCCCTTACCTGACAGAGGAGACTTCTGCACAATTCAGGCGTCTGGGGGATGAATACACAGGTTGTGTAGGAAGCTCAGAAACATCCAATGTGTTAGCCTGGAGAGCAGTGGAGCACAAAGCTGAAGGCTGCGGCCGGTAGATGACGCTTGGTGAGGTAGTCTGCTCCTGAGTCCCTGAGTCACACACACTAAGGAGGTCCGGAGAAGTCGGTGAAGCGAGGTTTACTTCATGAAAGCCTTCCAAGGGGTCATTAGCCATAGCAAAAGCCTCATCATAAAATAACCTATGTTAAAACAAAAAGCAGGTAATTATTTTTAGACAGTGACATTTAAAACTAAATTAAGATGTATAAATAATAAGCCCATTATAAAGTATAAGCTAACAATAAAAAACAGTATAAGAAAGATAAACATTTCACATTTATTAACATCGTTTAACATTCAGTAAGTAACCTCAAGGTATAACTACTAAACAGTCAAACAGTCTGACTTGGAAGAGATAAAACAATAGCTTTGAAAGTGGCCCCTGGCTCGGCGCCTATAGCTCAACTGGCTAAGGCGCCAGCCACGTACACCTAAGGTGGCGGGTTCGAATCCCCAGCCCAGACCCGCCAAACAACAATGACGGCTGCAACCAAAAAATAGCCAGGCGTTGTGGCGGGCGCCTGTGGTCCCAGCTACTTGGGAGGCGGAGGCAAGAGACTCACTTGAGCCCAGGAGTTGGAGGTTGCTGTGAGCTGTAATGCCACGGCACTCTACCCAGGGGGACAGCTTGAGGCTCTGTCTCAAAAAAAAAAAAAAAAAAAAAAAAAAAAAGAAAGTGGCCCCTAATGCTGGTAAAGTGAGAATAATTAATAAGTATAAGGAATGAATAAAAATTTAATACTTTTACTTTAAAATTACTATTTAAATGTTCACCTTAAACTTATTTCTCTGAATATGCTATTTAAATATGAAAATGACACATTACAAATACATAGTATAATCTAACAGTACAATCTTAGGCTCAATAACAATTGTTAGGCTATGAAATTCTTTTTTTTTTTTTAAGCAGTTTTTTCGCCAGGGCTGGGTTTGAACCTGCCACCTCCGGCCTATGGGGCTGGCGCCCTACTCCTATGAGCCACAGGCGCTGCCCGACTATGAAATTCTTAAAACAATGTTTTTTTAATGTGACAGATTAATACTGCATGTATTTATCATGTACAACATGATGTTTCGAAGTGCATACACATCGTAAAATGGTTAACTCTAGCTAATTAACAAATGCATCATCACACAATTATTTCTGTGACGAGAACACTCAGCACCCACTCCTGGCATTTTCAAGAATACAATATATCAGCATTAACTACAGCCACCCAGCTTTACAACACATCACTTGAATTTATATTTAACTTTGCTATCATACATGACCTTGGTTAGCACAGGTAGAAAAGGCAGTACAGATATATTTCACACATACTCACACACATTAAGAAGGAAACAGACCTGAGTTCAGCTATTCTGTCTGCTTCATATCAGCTATATGACTTTGGATGAGTCAGTGTTTTTTATTTTCTTTTTTATTTTGAAATCATTTTAAATTTATATTGGAATTGCAGAGCTCCTGTATGCCTTTCACCCAGATTATGAAACTGTTAACATTTTTGAGCCACCTGAAAATAGATGTCAGATATGATATCCATTAACCATTAATACCTCCAGGAATGCATATATACACATATACACACACTATCCATATATCCCCTAAATACAAGGACATTTTCCTATCTAACCACAAAACCATCATCAAAATCTGGATGTTAACAGAGATCAAAGTTACCATCTAATCAGTAGGTCCCATTTGATTGTGTCAGCTTTAAATTTCTCCTGTGACGGCATGAAAATGGGGATAGCAGCCCCCCTGTCCTTATAGCTGGGAAGACTAAAGAAACAACTCACACAAAGTCCTTTGTAGAGTTCCAGGCACCTGGCACAGAGCAGGGCCATTTATTACCACTGCCACCATTAACAATAATGTATGCCTCAGTTTCTCCATAAGCAAAAAATATTTCATTTAACTACTCAATCACATCACAAAGTCTACTAAAAACGAAAACGTGTACCACTCAAGTTTTCCACTTGAAGAGTTTAAAGCTAAAAGAATTCTTATAAATGCTTTAGTGATTTCCCTGTAGTATGAAATCCAAACTTCTTCTTATAGACTAACAAATAAGATCTTCCATGATATGAACCCAAACTTTCCTCCTAACTTTTTCCTATCTACAATAGTACTTTGATAATTGTGAAGGACACTTTCCCAGAACTTCAAAATTCCCAACACAAGAACCAACATAGCATGTAATTTCTTCCATAAAGTACAAAAGTATTCATTGATTTGTTAAGCTAAAAAAATTTAACCCTCTCATAACTCCTAACAAAAAGTGTTGAAAATAAGAACAAAAAGGTTGCAGTAAACTTGAGAAATTCCTTATTTGCATACTTTCAAAATCAGATTACTGCATGTCAAAGACCATCCACATACACAACACATACCAAGAAAACAGCTATATTCAAAGTACATAATTCATTTTCACTTAACTATAATAATTCACTAATCAATTCACTTTAATACAGAATATCTTTGCAGTAGGTTTTCATTAAACTTTGACATTTTATCATTAAGTATTTATGATAATTCCTTTCTCCCACCTATTCCTAATTCATCTCTGTACACACTGATGGTTCACGGAATCAGAAAATATAAAAGCATTTGCAATTCTGGAAACACAAAATGTACAAATCCTCTGACAGGAAGCTCCGTGCTATCGAGCAAAATGACACAGACATTAAACCTGTGCCCTGCATGTCACTCTCAGGGCTTCACCCAAAGACAAACTGTCAAAATGAAAAGAAAAGATACATTCATGAGACAAGCAGCATCATTTGTAATGGCCAAAGACTGAGTCAATGAACTCGGGCTCATCTTCATAATGAAGCTCTGTACAGTTGAGAAAGGAATGAGACAGCTATATACTTCTACAAGGTGACCTTGAAGCAGGAACCACAGCTTATACAGTAAGCTACCTTTCGTCTAAGGTATAGATGTACCAACTTATTTATATGCATACACATACTTATATGTGTATGTAAGTATTGTTAGAAATGGAAGGACAAACCAAAAACTAACAAAAATGGTAACTTACAGGAAGAGAGAGAGAATAGGTAAAGTGAAAACTAGACTTTTCTAAATATATCTTGCTTTAGAGATTTTAATGTGAGCTTAGAACCACAAAAGTGATAAAATTAAATTTTAAAAAAGAATCCCTAAAAATAAATTAATCTGTGTACTGAGATAGTAGGAAAGAACTATTTCAAATGACTTAAAAACAAGTAATATAGCCAGGCACAGTGGCACATGCCTATAGTCCCAGCTACTCAGGAGGCTGAGACAGGAGGACCACTTGAGTCCAGGAGTTCTGGGCTGCAGTGCACTATGCCAACCAGATGTTCACAATAAGTTCGGCAACAATATGGTGACCTCCCAGGAGCGGAAGACCACCAGGTTGTCTAAGAAGGGGTGAACAACTGGCCCCGGGGGGAAACGGAGCAGGTCAAGGCTCCTGTGCTAATTAATCAGTGGTGGGATCGCACCACTGCACTGCAGCCTGGGCAACACAGTGAGACCCTGGCTCTTAAAAATAAAAAAAATTAAAAAATAAAAAATAAAAAAAATTTAAAAATGAAAAACAAGTAATAGAAATACATATCCCTAAAAGAAAGTATTCTAAGAATAAAAAGAAGTGAAAAAATCGGAAACTATTTCCAGTGATAACAACAGTGGCAATGTTGATATAAAACTAGTATCTATAAGAAGATGAAGCCAGTAAGTTATGCTAATGTCATTTGGAACCAAGATTTTCAGCATGTGAAAAAAAAAAGATACAAGTATAAAATCAAAGAAGTTAAAATCCTGGAGTCCATAATTAGAAATACCAGAAAAATCTTCCTATTAAAATAAAATTCCCAACTTCATCCAATGAAAAGGTGTAGCAACAATGAGTACCACCTGCTCACGGTAATACCATTTCCTACAAAAAAAGAACACGGCTCCTTGGAAAAATGGCCAATTCAAGGCCTCAGGCAGAAACATACCAAAAGACCCTGGAACATTCTGTTATACTGTCAAAAACTGCTGGAGCAGTATCAAAAGGACTCCTATAACAAAGATGGGACAATGTGAACAACAAAAAGGATAATATCTGCCAAGAACTGGGACCCAGATGTTTTTAGATCCTTGAGTTCATAATGACACCAAAAATTTTTTAAAAATAACCCTTTGATCAGTGCTATGGAAACAATTCTTTATTTTCAGAACTGTAGAAAATAAACAGGTAGAAAGAATGAATATTAATCTTGACTTTTAGGAAGCTAAATAATCATGCAGGGCGGATGAGTAGGTGTGGGATAGCAACTCTCCTCGTAGGTATATGAACACTATGCTGGTGAGAGGCACAACAAAATATAGGATGTCTATGTAACAAACACCTGCACCCCCTTAATTAATCTTGCTTTGAAATAAAAACCAAAAAAACCAATGAAATAGTCCATCAGAAAAAGAACTATTCTTTTAAAAAGAACTCCACTTAGTAAAAATAACGTCACAATCCTAATGAAATAGTAAGTTTAAGCAATAATTATCAATAGGTATTAAACTCAGAAAACAACAGCTACCCGAAGAACTTTTTTAATGGATTAGAATAAACTAACTGATCACATCTTATCAAAAAAAAAAAAAAAGAGAGAGAGACACATTCATGCATTACTTTTATTATGTGGTAAATAAGAAAGAATCACCACCACCATTCTTGCCCCGCCAAGGAAGAAAAAGGATCCCAAATCGATGCCTCTTGATTCATCAGAGGAGAAAGAAACATGATAAATAGCACCACAGGGTCAAGAAAAGCAAAATCTTTGTTGTAATGTGATTTTTGGTTGTCTGGGAATATACCTAATAAAGGAATTGCAGGGTCAAATGGCAGGTCTATTTTTAGTTCTCTAAGTGTTCT